CTTTAGTTGATACTTGCGGTTCCACTGAGAAGGAATGAGCTCATAGCAACTAACAGTAGTTCATGTATGCTGCATCTTCAGCATGTGTCGAGGCAGATATGGAGGTATTAATTGCAGCAGAGGAGATTAAGTTTCCTGTAGAGAAGCATTGCCTGATTCCCATCCTTACTAGGGTACCCTGACTGTATTATCCTTAGCATCTCTGCGCGGTAGGAAGCCTACCTGGTCAGTATGGCCAAGTCAATACTTTGTAGAGCCACCTTTTGCAGCAATTACAGCTGCAAGTATTTTGGGGTAGGTCTCTATAAAGCTTGGCACATCTAGCCACTGGGATTTTTGCCCATTCTTCAAGGTAAAACTGCTCCAGCTCCTTTAAGGTGGTTTTGCTGGTAACAGCAATCTTTAAGCCATGCCACAGATTCTCAATTGGATTGAGGTCTGGGCTTTGACTAGCCCATTCCAAGACATTTAAATGCTTCCCATTAAACCATTCGAGTGCTGCTTTAGCAGTAAGCTTGGGGTTATTGTCTTGCTGGAAGGTGAACCCCCATCCCAATCTCAAATCTCTGGCAGACAAACAGGTTTCCCTCAAGAATTTCCCTGTATGTAGCGCCATCCGTCATTCCCTACATTCTGACCAGTTTACCAGTCCCTGCAATTGAAAAACATCCCCACAGAATGATACTGCCACCACTATGCTTCGCTGTGGGGATGCTGTTCTCAGGATGACGAGGTCTTGGGTTTGCGCCAGACATAGCGTTTTCCTTGAAGGCTAAAAAGCTTAAATTTTAGTCTCACCTGACTAGAGTACCTTCTTCTATATGACTTTTGTAGAACAGCAAACGTGTTTGCTTATTTTCTTCCTGTAACCAGTGGCATTTTTCTGGCCACTCTTCCATGAAGGCCAGTTCTTTGAAGTGTACAGCTTAAAAGGTATCCTATGGATACAGATACTCCACTCTCCACTGTGGAGCTTTGCAGCTCCCTCAGGGTTGTTTGGTCTCTTTGTTGCCTCTCTGATTAATGCCCTAATTGCCTGGTCCATGAGTTTTAATGGGCAGCCCTCTCTTGGCAGGCTTGTTGTGGTGCTATATCCTTTCCATTTTTTAATAATTAATTTAATGGTGCTCAGTGGGATGTCCAAAGCTTTGCAGATATTTTTATAACCCAACTTTACTCCACAACTTTGTCCCTGACCTGTTTGGAGAGCTGCTTGGTGCAGCTTGCTTGGTGGTGCTGCTTCATCAGTGTAGTTGCAGACTCTAGGGTCTTTCGGAACAGGTGTATATATACACTGAGATCATGTGACACTTAGATTTCACACAGGTCGGGCTTCATGGCAAAGGGGATGAATACATATGCACGTACCACTTTCCTGTTTTTTTATTTTATCAATTTTTTTAAAACAAGTTACCGTATTCTCTTGATTTTTCATCACCATTTTGGACTATTCTGTTTATGCCAATTTCATGCAATTCAAACAAAAAATATAGCTGCAAGCAGCAATAAAAAGGTGGCCAAGCTGTAGAGCCGGTCATAGCGATAGGGAGAAGATATTGCAGTTAGAGGGAAAAAAAAAAAAAAAAAAAAACATGATTTTATTAATTACAAAAAAAAATGGCCGCCGACCTTGGTGACCTCTGGAAGCCATATTGTATTTGGCAGTTATGATGTTGAGTTATCATATGTATAACAAGTTTAACATACTTCACTAGTGATATAAATGCACATTTATGCAATTGGATGCAATGTCAAAAAGTGATTGGCTTGTGGCGGCCATATTGATTTTGGGATCGGGCCTGGTTTTACAACCGAGTTAGTAGAGGTCGCCCTGGATATATGTGGAAAGTTTTCCGTTATTCTAATCAATGGTTTAAGAGTTTAAGTTATTTGCAGATTTTGCACAATCCAAAATGGCTGCCAAACCATGCGGTCACATGACTTGTAATAAACATATATGAGTGCATCACTCAGCTTATCTTCACCAAGAAATTTGTATATCTGTAGCCTTAGCGGTTATGAAAAAACAGATGTTTGAAAATTGTCAAAAATAGGTTTGTGTAAACCAAGATGGCCGCCAGGGCATGCGACCTATGACCTTTATGTTGACAAAGATTAAACACAGCACAGTCCTCTACCATTGTTCCAAATTTCATGTTTTTACATAACGGTGTGGCAATAAGTAGCTCTTTTTTTTTTTTTTTTAAAAGCATCAAAATAATAAAAATATTTGTCGAATTTGACACAATTCAATATGGCCGCCGAACCATGTGACCAATTGACTTGTAATGTTCAGTTGTAAATTGCAGTGGACATTTTGATTGTGGGATCGGGCCCATTTCTACAACCGTGGTAGAAGAGGTCACCCTGGACATATGTGCAAAGATTTGAGTTATTCTGATAAAAGGTTTCAGAGTTTAAGTTGTTGACAGAATATTGCACAATCCAAAATGGCTGCCAAACCATGTGACCAATAGCGCTACAATGAGCTCATGTGGCAACAGATCAAAGCATAAGAACACACAGCAAGTTGCACATCTGTAGCTTTAGCGGTTCTGGAGATGCAGGTTTCTGAATATTTGCAAAAATTGTCCCAAAAAACAAGATGGCTGCCACATCATGTGACCTATGACCTTTATATTGCAATAAGTTCTGCAGAGCACAGGTCTGCACCATTGTGCAAAGTTTCATGAGTTTTTGACTTTCAGGGCACTTGTTACAGGCATTTGAAAGCAGCGGCAGAATAATAATAATAAATAATATAGCTGCAAGCAGCAATAAAGGTGGCCAAGCAGTAGAGCCTGTCATAGCACATGAGAACATATTGTAGTTAGAGAGAGAAAAAGTAGGACATGATTTTATGAACTATAAAAAAAATTCAAATTCAAAATGGCCCGCCGACCTTGGTGACCTCTGGAAGCCATATTGTATTTGGCAGTTATGATGTTGAGTTATCATATGTATAACAAGTTTAACATACTTCACTAGTGATAAATACACGTTATTGCAATTGGATGCAATGTCAAAAAGTGATTGGCTTGTGGCGGCCATATTGATTTTGGGATCGGGCCTGGTTTTACAACCGTGGTAGAAGAGGTCGCCCTGGATGTATGTGGAAAGTTTTGTGTTATTCTGATAAATGGATTCAGAGTTTAAGTTGTTTGCAGAATATTGCACCATCCAAAATGGCTGCCAAACCATGTGGTCACGTTACTTGTAACAAACATATGATTGCAGAGCTATGCATCTCCATATAAAGCAATTTATATATGTGTAGCTTTAGCGGTTATGAAAAAAACAGATGTTTGAAAATTGTTCAAAATAGGTTTGCTTAAACCAAGATCAGAGCATGCGACCTATGACTTTTATGTTGACAAAGATTTCAAACAGCACCATTCTCTACCATTGTGCCAAATGTCATGCGTTTTTACATAACGATGTGGCAATAATTAGCATTTGAAAAAAAGAGCGTTGTTCAATTTGACAATTCAATATGGCCGCCGAACCATGTGGCCAATTGACTTGTAATGATCAGTTATGAGTATAGAGCTCCCCATGACTTCAAACAGCAATTTGTCCATCTGTAGCTGTAATAGTTCCTGAGAAACGGATGTTTAAATATGTAGCTGAATATAATCAACTAAAAACAAGATGGCTGCCAGGCAATGTGACCTATGACCATTATGTTGCAGAAGATTAGGCATAGCACAGAGCTCTACCATTGGGCCAAGATGCATGAGTTTATGAGTAACAGTGCGCCAATAAGAGGCTTTTAAAAAAAAGGCCATAACAATAATAACACTATATAAACATGATTGGCTTGCAGCGGCCATTTTGTTTTTGGAATCGGGCCAGTTTCTACAACCCTGGTAGAAGAGGTCGCCCTGGACATATGTGCAAAGTTTTGAGTAAATCTGATAAAGGGTTTCAGAGTTTAAGTTGTTGGCAGAATATTGCAAAATCCAAAATGGCTGCCAAACCATGTGACCAATAGAGCTTTAATGAATACCATGTGGCAACAGAGCAAAGCATAAGCTCAAAGAGCAAGTTGTACATCTGTAGCTTTAGCCGTTCTGAAGATACAGGTTTCTGAATATTTGCAAAAATTGTCGCAAAAACTAAGATGGCTGCCACATCATGTGACCTATGACCTTTATATTGCAATAAGTTCTGCAGAACATAGGGCTCTACCATTGTGCAAAGTTTCATGAGTTTTTGACTAACAGAGCACTTGTTACAGGCATTTGAAAAAGTGGCGGAATAATAATAATAATCTTAACAGATACAATAGGTGTCCTTGCAACTTCGTTGCTTGGCCACCTAATAATAATAATCTGAACAGATACAATAGGTGTCCTTGCAACTTTGTTGCTTGGCCACCTAATAATCTTACAAATAACAATAGGTGTCCTTGCAACTGCGTTGCTTGGCCACCTAATAATAATAATAATAAAAATAATAATAATCTTACCAATAACAATAGGGGTCTAGCAACTTTGTTGCTTGGCCACCTAAAAATAATAATAATCATAATCTGAACAGATACAATAGGTGTCAAGCAACTTCGTTGCTTGGCCACCTAATAATAATCTGAACAGATACAATAGGTGTCAAGCAACTTCGTTGCTTGGCCACCTAATTAATTTTAATTCCAGGTAGTAATGCAACAAAACAGGAAAAATACTTTTGCAAGCCACTGAAAGTAAACATAGTCATGTTTATTTAGCTAATGGATGCAAGATAATTTCATATCAGCTTGCATGGCTGCATGCTGATGCAATTTTTTGTGAAAGGGGGTAAAGGTCCACTTTAAGACCTATTAGAGGTTCCATCAGCTCAAACCTACTGTTTGTGCTGAAAGTAAATAATCCAAGGTTGTATTACTTTTGGCTCAAATGCGATAATTGGCTTCGTGGAGTGACACTGCTAAGAGGGGGAATTAAAGGAAGAACACAAAACAAAGCCACAAAAGGATTATTATAAAGACAACAACTACTCACAGAGTCAGGTACTTGTGTGCAGTAATGAAGATTTCCTGAGCTTTCTCTGGAAAGGACTTGGTACTAAACTCCTCATCATAGTTTTTGACTCTCCGAATTCTGGGAAAAGAAAAGTGCACAAACTTCAAACTAGAAAGTCATGGAATATTAAAAATTATGTACAGTACATTACTGCCAGCATAGTGACATTTAATCCTCTTATATGTTTGTGTTGGGGTCAGGTTGCATTAGGATGTTACCCTGGATGGATGTAGTTATAGATGTGGAGTAAGGAGATAGGTCTGAAATTATTGAGGTTGGTAGGGTCCAGTGAAGGTTTTTGGGGTATTGGGGTGACTAGTGCATGTTTGAGTGGGGTAGGAAAGATTCCAGTAGAGAGGGAAAGCTTGAAAACGTGGGTAAGAGGTGAGTGAAAAGCACTCACCTCATAGTTCTCCTTTAAGCATCTACACAGGAGTGAAAAATACCCTGCCTTTTCCAACCCACAAAAAATAAAGAAAATCATCCTTTTTGATCCAGTTTATACAGTAATGAGGAAGTCTGTTGTAATCCTCACTATTGGGAAAGCCCTGCACATTTATTACTACCTTTACGGTAATGGGGGTAGTCCCCTTGTGTATATAAATGTTACTTAGACGTCGGATGCTCCAGATCCAGCCTACTAAAGAAGCCCAAGGAGATTTGCAAGTCAACAGCTTACATTTGTTTGGGCAGCAGCATTTGCCTAACACAGGGAACACAGGGGACACAGGTCAAGGGACAAAGCAACTGACCATGAAGGACTCACAAATCCCAGATAACTGACAAGGTTAGGTTTGTCAAGTCTTGCATAGAATATATTTCTCTAATAAGTTCTTCTAGAATGTTTACTACACAAAACTGTTCTCCGACTATATATCCCAGGTTTCTCTGATGTGTGATATATATCCAGAAAAACAGATTGTCCCTTCTGTGTTGCTTCCCAGATACCGATAGCACTGCTTTACTTATCATTAATGGGGCTGTTCAGGGTCAAAGTAATAAAAATGATTAGTCTCTATCGTTTACGATGAAACGGAAGTGACACTTAACTGATACTGGTGCTGCATAGCTGGCACCTCATGTTACTGGTATGTCATCTGAGCTCAGTCACTGAGCACCCTCAAATTCTGAGAATGCTCTAGTAACAAATTGACTGGATATCTGGTTCAAATAACTGGCCTAGTTCTCTCCCATGCAACTGGCCAGTAAGACCACCAATCATAATGATCTACCAATAACAAAGTACAGGCAGTGAGGACAGAATGTCAAGCAGGAGTTCTGGTCAATAATTACTAGGGACGCACCAATATATCGGCCGAAAATGGCACTTTTGGCTAAGTGCAATTTCGGCCGAAAGTGCCATTTTCCTGCCGATACATCGGCGCATCTGAGATTTTTCCTTCCCCCTGGGCGGTGCTCTGTGCCCCAGCGGGGAGGAGAGAAAGTGACAGCCGGCAGAGCGGGACAAGAGCGCTGTGAGCGGCCAGGTGTCTCTCCTTCCACACCAATCGGCCGCCTATCACAGTGCAGCAGAGTGGTGTGGGGGCGGAAAACAGCGCTGTCACAGGAGGCTGGGCTCTCCTCTCGCACCGCTCACTCAGCCTCCTGCGACAGTGTGTGTCAGAGAGGAGAGCAGGCTACAAACACTCAGCGATCGCTGAGTGTTTGTAAATAATTGAGGATATGGTATGTTTACTATATCCTCAATTATGAATGAATGGAAGTGACCTATATCCACTCCTGTTCATTCATAATTGTGGTTATAGTAAACATACTATATTCTCAAGTTATCAATGAACAGAAACACTCAGAGGATTCCTGTTCATTGATAACAGGGGATACAGAAAAATAGATTGAGGACTCTGCGTTCTCAATCTCTTTTTCCATTTTAAAAGGGAAATATCAGGGGTCTGTTTTGACCCCTAATATTTCCCCAAAGCCACTAAAAGTAAAAAATAAAGATGAAATAAAAAATGAATAAAAATAATTAAAATCTAAAAGTTTATAAAAAATAAAAATAAAATATTTTAAAACTGAAAAAAATTAATATAAAAACATTTTCGGTATCGGTCTGACAATTTTTTTTCTATTTCGGTTTTTAAATTTCTATTTCGGTGCATCTGTAAGAGTTACCATGGTGTCACTTTAAGTTCACTGTAATGTTCATAAGGCGAACATAATAAATAAGAACAAGCGCCAGTCTTGACTTCTGGCGTAAGATGCAGCTAAGTCACTTCCTGCGCTCACTCCTGGAAGCTCACGAGTTTTATAGTGCGCCATCTCCCTTCGAACAAGAATGCACTAGCAATGGTCAAGCACGACATTCACTCTCCTTTTGTCACAAACTCCTAATTGGGGAAGACACCACATCCCCGCTGGGGTTCTTATCAAGATGGGAGAAAGATCTCCCCATGCATTTGACTCCAGAGGTCCACACAAATTTGTTATCTTTATCTTATCAAGCCTCTATAATAGGGATGTCTCGATACCACTTTTTTCAGGACCAAGTACAAGTACTTCCCCTCATGTACTTGCCGATACCAATTACCGATACTTAATAAAAAAAAAAAGGGACAGGTAACTTTAAATGATCCATAGTACAACTACATGTTCTGTACTATGGATCATGATTTAACCTATTCATGTTAGCAGCGGAGAATTGTAACTCCTATTGCTGGAGTGTAGTAGAGGTGTGTGCTGTATATGTGTGCTACATATACATTACACACGTCCAGTACACTATAGCAATAGATTTACAGCCAGCCCTAGAGGTCCACACAAATTTGTTATCTTTATCTTATCAAGCCTCTATAATAGGGATGTCTCGATACCACTTTTTTCAGGACCAAGTACAAGTACTTCCCCTCATGTACTTGCCGATACCAATTACCGATACTTAATTTAAAAAAAAAAGGGACAGGTAACTTTAAATGATCCATAGTACAACTACATGTTCTGTACTATGGATCATGATTTAACCTATTCATGTTAGCAGCGGAGAATTGTAACTCCTATTGCTGGAGTGTAGTAGAGGTGTGTGCTGTATATGTGTGCTACATATACATTACACACGTCCAGTACACTATAGCAATAGATTTACAGCCAGCCCTGTCCCAGCTTCCCTCACTCACAGTTCACTCCGATCCCTGTAGCCTCACACGGTGCCTCTGGTGGTCGGCGCTGGCCAGGATCGCTGCATCGCGTCTCAGTGCTCAGCTTGTGGGAGGCGCTCGCAATTATCCCCTGCTAACATGAATAGGTTAAATCATGATCCATAGTACATAACATGTAGCTGTACTATGGATCATTTAACCCATTCATGTTAGCAGTGCAGAATAGTAAATCTATTGCTGCAGTGCATTCTATATGTAGCACATATACAGTGCATATAGATTTACAATTATCCTCTGCTAATATGAATGGGTTAAATGATCCATAGTAAATAATAGTACATAACATGCAGTTGTACTACGGATCATTTAACCCAGATTAGCAGTGCAGAATTGTAAATCTACTGCTGCAGTGCATTCTAAATGTACTGTATGTGTGCTACATAAAAGAATGAACTGCTGTAGATTTACAATTCTGACCTGATAACATGAATGGGTTAAATGATCCGTAGTACAACTACATGTTATGTACATATTACATAATGTCTCCAGTACTACGGATCATGTTTATGGTGCTAGGCTGCAGATAAAAAACTGATCACTGCACACAAAAACTAAGCATGACTGACCTACAAACATGTACCATGTATTGAAATTGATATTTCAAGAGCGGCAGAGTCCTGAACTGTGCCCCCCATGCCTGAAGGAAATAAAGGGGCACATTTATATGACTTTCACCAAACATTCACTGGTGAATAAATCACATTCATTTAAAATGCATGAACCTGGACAATTCACCCAAAGTGAATCTTTGGTAACTGTCAGATCAACTGGCTTTATAAATATGCCCAGAGGAGAATTTATCAAAACTGGAACAAACAAAAATCGGAGCAGCTGTGCATGGCAGTCAATCAGCTTCTCTCTTTCATTTCCAAACCTTAACTGAACAAACTGAAGAGATAAGCTGATTGGTTGCCAGCTAGGGGAGAGTGAGCCAGCTAGGGGAGAGTGAGCCTTTGACTCGGATCCTAGCC